TACCCTCTTCTATTGCCAACACATCCTCTCCTCATACCCTCTTCTATTGCCAACACATCCTCTCCTCATACCATCTTCTATTGCCAACACATTCTCTCCTCATACCCTCTTCTATTGCCAACACATTCTCTCCTCATACCAGCTTCTATTGCCAACACATTCTCTCCTCATACCAGCTTCTATTGCCAACACATTCTCTCCTCATACCAGCTTCTATTGCCAACACATCCTCTCCTCATACCATCTTCTATTGCCAACACATCCTCTCCTCATACCATCTTCTATTGCCAACACATCCTCTCCTCATACCAGCTTCTATTGCCAACACATCCTCTCCTCATACCCTCTTCTATTTTGACCCTAACGTGTAATATTATTTAAGGTAAATCCTCAGCCAAAAAATAAGATAAAAATAAAGCACTTGGATAAATGAATTACTGAGTCAGGCTTAAGTCATATTTGTGACAGCAATGCGTCGTCTTTCGTGTTTTATGGAAGTTTTTCTTTTTTTTTAACCAGTAAAGTATGTGATTAATGTTTATCACAGACCACACGTACACACGTTAAAATAAAAGTTAAATTTGCTTCATTAAAGCATGATATTATCGTTAATATTTCAAATGCGTAATGTTTAAATTATTGACATAGTATATATATACACATACACACACACATAATAATGAAAGTGTAATTATACACAATACTATATTTACACTGATCAGTGATTATCAAAATGTTTCTAAAACCGATTATTCGAATAGGAATCGACGAGGATCTGTTTGCTTCTCTTGGCTTTCAACCCTATGTGTACCAGAGTTAACCCACAGTACCCATAGTCTCCTCTAACATCCCCCTCCATTTAAAGAAAGTCTTTCCTTAGGACGCTTGAAAAGTACCCTTTTTGTCAATGAGTCCCTGCCCTTCTAACCTACTGTGCACATTTATTTCACTGTGGTCACATTTTTGTCATAGTCTGTAGTTCAGTTTCAACTAGGATCACGTGAGATACACGATTCAAATATTTTTCATATACATTAAAACAACCCCCTAGCACCACCCCCTTCGTCACCAAGTGCCTCTGTATGGCTTACCTGATGATGAAGTCAAATTCTGAGAAAGCCAACATGAGGACACCCAGAAGTGTGGACACAGCACCATGGATAACCGGAGCAAACATGTGTTCTAACGTCATAGCCATTCTTCTGTTCCTGTCTCCAATGCTGGTCAAGAATCCCTACACAACCAAACACTTGCTATGAAATCAATTAATTAAAGATAATTGTAAGCAGATTCGCTAAATGTTCAATATCTTTTTCGTATACACACTAGAAATAGAGAAGCAACGAAGTTAATGTTCTAGAACAAACCAAATGATGGGATTGTGGTGCGAGTATGATAGGTTTTCTTCCTTGGTTCCCTCAGGAAGCAAAAGAAAAAAGTGGTGATGGTTAAGAACTGTGCAGATAGAATGGAGTCTTGGACCTCTTTACTTACCATAGTGATATGAGCTGTAAAGTCCATTCCAATCCCTACAGCCACTATCAAAATAACTGCAGGAACGGCACTCAGACGAATTCCAAGAATTCCCATTAGACCAAAAAGGTCAACAACCATGACGGCCAAAACAGCAACCTAAGATGACAAGTAAACATTTAGTTTGTATTAATAGCGCGAAAGAACATCTGCAGATGTAAGTTCAAATATATATATAAAAAAAGTCTTTCCATAATTCTATAAGAAAAAAAAAATCAATGAAAAATAAAACTTCTTACCATGATTGCTGCAGCCCAGAGATTTACCAAGATAACGGAAACTACCAGGAAGATAGCAGTTAGGACACAAATTAGAGCCAGGGACAGATAGAACCTCAACCCAATATACTGCTCCCAGAAAACAAAAGGGATCCCTGTAGGGAAGTTTGGCAGTCCCTTTTCCTCGTACTTCTCGCACAAAATTCGTATGTCCTCAATAGTTTTCGTTATCTCATTAGTGTCTCCCATGTTATTGAGATAGAATTGCATCTGAGCGTAAACTAACGGTTGGGATTTGGGGATTTTGAGGTCCACATCCTGAGGTTCGTGCCTCCAATCCCGAGGTTCAGGCTGGAGGTTAGCTTGAGAGGCTGAGTAAGCGAGGGCGTCGTTAGATACCCATGCTGACAGGTAGTTGTAAAAAGCTTTTGAGTTGATGATTCCTTCTTTGTCTACCAGTCGCGCTGTGGTAACCTTAAAAAAACACACGTTCTTTTTTTTAGTACTAGGGTCGTTCATTCTAGAAGAAAAGAACCAAAAACTGCAATATAACACTTTCAACGTAACTTCATCTTTAAAGGAAACTCCTACAAGTTAATATATATTATTTCCTGATTTTACTCAGTCATCGCATTCTATTACTGTTCGCCCATTTAAAGCTATCTTTTGATTCTCCAAGTACACTTTTTCTACGAATCCTTTGTCAGTTTCAAAAAACAACAACAACAGCAAGAAACTATATTTTATGTTTGATGCATTTTGTGTGACTCAATCTAAAAATATTGAAAATCAAAAACGCATTATACGTACTAAATATTTATCAACTGGATTATCTATTTTTCTAACAATGTATTATACGTACTAGAGATTTATCAACAGGATTATCTACTCTTCCTGTTTGAACCAGCAACTTATAGGCCAGGATAGCCTCATCGGTAGCATTAGGGAACCAACGTTCTTGAGTAATACAGCCATCTTTCCAATCTTTTTCGAAAGCTCTCTGCAGACCTAAGAAATACAGAATTTTTTTCAACCTGCGTCAGTACAGATTTATCAAACTTGTTAACAGCTAAAACTATGTTAACAAATAAAACAACTAACGACAATACTGAGATTTCAAGAAACAAAAACAAAACTGAAATTCTGTATAAAGTACGGTTAACATAACAGATACATTTTATTGTTGTAGGTGTTTGATTTGGAAGCTAATAATAAACTTTGTTTGTTTGAAGATAAGCACAAAACTACACAATGGGCTATCTGTGCTCTGCCCACCACAGGTATCGAAACCCAGTTTCTAGCGTTGTAAGTCCGCAGTCATACCACTGTGCCACTGGGGGGGGGGGTGATAATAAATACCACGCTGTTCGTATTAAACACTTAGCGTAGAAAACAAACAAAACAAAAATTATGTGCATGAATAGATTAGAAAAATCGGTTCAAAAAGCTAATGGTTTCTGAACCCACTGGTAATTCTAGGGTTAAGCAGTTAATTTTGGGACAAAATAAATTTCTCATAAATAATAATAATTCATACTTTCAAATAAATTAAACTACTGAAAGATAGTTTATGCTTATGAAAAATAAAATGGTTGCTAATATCTTGACTTCAGTCGAACTTAAAAAAAAACTTTCGTGTGTAATAACTCTATCTAATTTAGTTCAGAGAAGAGCTCTTTTTTTTAGTTGTTTAATTAATCAACCACCCTGTACGTAGTAGGAGACATCGTTTCGTTTTCATTGTGCAAAACAAAATAAATAAAACATATTTTCTCGTTACAGTCCGCTTAACATGATTATTTATATTGTAATTTCTCCCACAAAGCGAACCACAAGACTTTCCAAGGGCAACGAGAGCGAAAACGACACGAACGCCGTATTATTGAAACAAGCCGGTAATTTACAATCCGAAAATTGAAATATATGCAGAAAGACATATATGCGCGTTCGGTCGGTAGACTTCAAAGATATGGTCACTACATAAAACATGAAGTTAGGACTGTTCGTTGAACAGTTGCCAAGTTTCTCTGACAGACGATGTCTTCATCTCGGTTCAGGTGATTAGTACAGTGACTCATCACTAGGGGCTGGAGAAGTTGAAACTGGGACCGTTACAGATACGAGTGTTTCCTAATCTTCTTTGTTCGGCTTGCAAAAATAACCATTATAATTAGACAAAATATGAATCGTTCTTAAACTTAGTTTCTGGTATTTTGTTAATATCTTTGATGTAAGAAACAAATAAAAAAACCAATCAACATGGGTAACAATGTTAATTATGCAACGTACAGCTAGGAAATTTTTTTTATTCCGTTACACTTGACATAATACTGATTAAATACATTGTTTCAATGGGAGGATAATTTTATACAAAATGTAAAAAAGAAGATTGCCAAGATATATATATATATATTTAAACGTACGAAGTCAACATGGATATCCAACTTTATTTACCAACACAAAAACTGGAAGATAAGTGAATTAGACATTGTAAAACTGGTTTTATAATGGAATGCTACTCTTATGCCATGCAACAAGGTTAAATATGAGAGGATAAAGTACTCATGTTGGTAATGAAAGAGTTAAGCACGGAACAGAAACAGACTGAAATTTCTGAACAGGTTATCCCCTACATCTCACTATCACAAGTTTTCTTCATGTGCTATCAGATGTGGTCCTTGTTTATCATCACGTGGCTCCACCCACAATCTCACGTGCCAGTGGAGCAAACTATGTGCTGAAAATTCGGGTTATCATGGTGTGTAGGTTTTCACTAACACTAGTTACACATACACACTATAGTGTAAGTCTTTACTGACACTAGTTGCACACACTATAGTGTAGGTTTTTACTAACACAGACACACTATAGTGTAGGTTTTTACTAACACAGATACTATTAATGTGAAAACACTCCCAAAGTTTCAATAAAATACTCCCATATTCTGTAATTACTCGTACTGTCACATATTTCTCACACATAATAAATGTGGGACAACGAAAGTTAATATATTTCTTTTCCCCATTTCACAAGTTATTCGTTAGTTTAGTGTCTTGAGAAGCTAACTAGCAGCATATCAGTTTATTATTGTTAAGCATCACAATCCAATGTAACAAATGGTAACTCTTAGAAGTATTAGATATTCAACACTAATCCTCAACTCTCTCATATCATTTGAAGCTCCAGAAGGTGCCCGTCTCACTGTTGTCTGTTAGTACGAGTTTCGACAATCTCCTCTTGCTCAATCAGCGGCGTATCTTTACGCGTCCTGCCCGCCCCGAGGGCTGGGTTTGAACCCGCTGGCTGTTAGAATGAATGGTTAGCACGAGTTATAGCTTGCGGGAAATACTGCCTCGTAACACAGAGAATGGCTTAATTACGGCAGGCGCTGCTTAGTAGTCTATTCCTGCTCGTACTTAAAACCTTAGAAGAATGCATTGATCAAATAAGTTCGTCCGAGTGCGAGGGCGTTTCGTGAAGAAAGTAGAAATATTTCCGTCCTGTCGACAAACTGCGCGGGGAATTTTTACATTCGCAGCTAGAATGGGGATTTGTCCCCCTGTGAAAATAAACTGCACGCTTCAAAGTTCGTGAAAGCTGTATGTAAACCAAGCATCAACATTATCCATCATGGAAGAGTTTTCTCACGTTCCTGGTATGAATCACTTTTAGGGCTAGGTCAGCATATTGTTCACAGCTTCCAACTGGCTTTACGTGTGGTACTGATATTCAAACAGAGACAGCTTTTCCATCTTGGGTTTACGACACTCTTAACTCCCATACTTCAAAGACAAACCCTCTTAACAATCCACAACCAAAGGTTCACACATGCATGCCACACACTTTGAAATTTCTTCATTTATACTTTATCTTTTGGGATAAAACTTTCCAAACTCAGTTTTATCTATACTACACTAATAATGTAACCAAAGCAATTCGACAAAAATATTTAATAATGTTAGTTTAGTGCACTGTGAACACCAATAAAAAATTATCACCAATTTTAAACCTATGCAATTATAATACATTTTTACTTTCATATAATGAACATTTCTGTTAGAACCATTGGTTTCAACGAGTAAGTTTTATTACCAATTTACAGCAAATATAAGTTAAGAATCAAATTAAATCCAGCACGTACTATTGAAGTGTAAAGGTCCAAACTGAAATAAATCTAAATGTATCAGATACAATCGCGATGTTAAAGTCCAGATTACAAGTTTATATGTACCAAATAACATCACGATTTGAAGGTTCTGATTGGAAGAGGTTTTGATGTACCAGATAACATCGCGATGTCAAGGTTCCGAGTAGAAAAAAAGTCTTTATGTATTAGATAACATCGCGATGTCAAGGTCCTGAGTAAAAAAGGCTTTATGTACCAGACATGGTCGCGATATCAAAGTCCAGAGTGCAAAAAAAGTCTTTATGTATTAGATAAAATCGCGATGTCAAGGTCCTGAATAGAAAAGTCTTTATGTACCACACATGGTCGCGATGTCAAAGTCCAGAGTGGAAGAGGTCCAGATGTATTACGCCTACCCAGGTATCTTTACATGAACATTGATTTTATTTGAACAGCGTAAAGTAAGCAAAAATAATAATAAAAATATAAAAAAACGAGAAATATCAAGCATGATAGAGCTGCTTTACACTACTTAACGCATCCGATTCTTATTCTAAGATAAAAAATACCAAAAGTAAATCTACAAAAATATAACCCAAGCCCGACATTGTCGAGTACACGAAGAACAACGTTTTAATACTATATCAGAAAATAAAAGTGTGTTGAAAACAGATACTTACTTAATAGCCAGTCCCTAAAGAGCGACAACCAGAAGTCAGGGAGCCCACCATCATCGTTCTTAATGATCTTGTTAACCCTCGTGAATGCCGCGTGGTATTCGTAAAGCAATTTTTGATTAGTTGGATACTCAAAATTTCCCTTGGTGACAGCAAACATGTTGAAAAATCCAAAGTACTTGCTTTGGAAGTGAAGAAAATTATGTTCATTGGTATTTCGTGGTACAATATCTGTGAGGTCGAGGCCATCTTCGACACGAAACAACCCCCAGACACTTACAATAGTACCCACAAGGAATAAAACGACGGTAAGAACCTGGAATTACGAAAAAAAATAATATTTTACTTATATTTCTTTTAAATTAGATCGGATTTTTTGTAGTCACCAAAGTTCTGTTTTATACGTCTATTTTTACGCGAACATTTAGTCAGTCCTAATTTCCCAAAAGTACGACTTTCCAAGTTGTGCAATTTAAGCAATTTTAATGAAGTATCTCCTTTTTAACACAATGAGATTTTATATAAAGTAGTTAATAATCACACACACACCTTCACAGAATTCTTTTGCAGGAAGGGGGCGTATCGATGTGTGGCAAACCACGTCAGGGACCACCCGAAACACCCCTGCCGATCCCCAGCACAAGTCTCGATGCATTTCTGTCTCACGCTCTTCTCACTGTCTTGAACAAATTCCTTTGTTGATGTAGAATTGGTGGTTGACAGATGTTGTGTTGAACAACCTGGTATAAACAAAGTATCAACTGTATTGTCAGGGTTCCATTGATGGAATTAATTGCATGTATTAAAAATAACATCAACATCGGTGTGGCACTGAAACCTCTGGGGTTCTCGCTGATTCTTGTGTGAACTCCACACTACCAAATCTAAACATTTGTGCAAACGTGGAAATATTTTAGTTATATTACAGATTTCTTTTCACCTATGGTAAAATTCAAAATATCATCTGTGACGCAGAGGCCTAATGCATTATTTGACTTACCACACTGTTGACTAAACTTTCGCCTCTTCAAAGAAATACAGTTAAGCCTCTGATAAGCCTTAAATAACCGAAATTGCAGTCCAAAGCTGAGGGTGCGGCGAATCAAAGAGTGCATTAGGCCTCTACGTCACAGATGATGTTTTCAATTTTACGTTTGGTGAAAAGAAAATCTGTGATATAATCCTTACAACACCTAATAATAAATTAGGTGTAATGCCATAATATTATTCACACACCTAAATTAATTTAGATTACTATATGGTGAGTTACAAATGACTTGAAACCCCCACATTATGAAACGATTATATTTAAATTCCCGACTGGAGAACATAACTAACTGGAAACGAATGTAAAGTGAGGCTAAGTAGTATCACTATGCAGAAAGCCAATTTAATAAATAAATAAATATTTCTAACATGCGATAGTATACAGGTACTCCAAAACCTAAAACGAAACTTAATAACGCACATAATAGCTGACATATAAAGTATATACTTATTCATCTAACAATCCATTATTAGTCGGCATAATATTTTAGAACGATGTTTTTTTTTGTTGTTGCTTCTCTCTCTCTCTCTCTCTCTATATATATATATATATATATATATATGTACACACACTAGATGTACTTCCGCAGGGTACCCGAAGTGTTCTGTTTCAAGAGTAAATAAAACCAAAATTGAGAGTAACAAATATTTTTATTTATTGCTTTTGAAGTTCATATGTCATGCTGTGTTGTAGCCTACAGAGTGCATACAATTCTTCTCGTGATTCATGGCATGCACACATTTGAATGACGCCACGACAGCACAAATTGCAACGTTAAGCGTTCCTTATGCGACATCATTTTAGTATCTACTGACTTACTGACAGACAACACATTACTGTATTATGGTGCGTGTGGTTAAAACAGATGACCCTTCCAGACGGCCTTTCGGCCCCCTTTTCAGGGAAATAACATGTTTTTTTAAGTGTGCACATTTTCCCATTTTCACTTAAACTATTTTATTGTAGTAACGCCTATGGTCAAAGTAATGGTAATCTAAGATTCTATAAAAAAATTTGAAATCTAGAAAGTTTTCTAAGATTTCTTTAGAAACAATTTTTTTCCCTTTGCGAGATTCATAAGCAACATTGTTTCAATTTATAAAATATTTGTATTCTTTTAATTAAAGAAACGTTTTTCTGGAGCTAATCCTACAAAAGCGTAATCTCCTTTAAAAAGTAAACTCTCAATCAATCGTTGCCTAATAAATCTTGAAAAGAATACCTGTGTTATTGTTGTTTTCAGTCCAACAATTAGGCGTTTGATTTCCTGTAGGGGGCGCTAGTACCGTAACAACATGATTGCGATCAGGAGGAAGTGCTCTAGTGACGGCCTGACGTTTGGGGATTTCACTGGACGGAACAAGATGACATAAGGATGACGTTGATCCCAATCTCGCACTGTTACGTAGGCCACTCCTTCTGCCTTCTTCAATGTTGCATATGGGTGACACTTGTGTACTCCTACGGAGTACGTTCACGGTATTTTAAAATATACGTATTAAGTAAAATACACAATTATTATTACCTTACATGCATAATCTGAAACCAAGAATCATTTAAAAAAAAACTCCTGAAAATCTAATCTGGATTCCCCGTTCATGAATTCTTTATAAAATAAAAAAATCCAAATTTAACACACCCACTAAAACAACAGAAGAAATCCACTCGTTTGGCTTCTCGTCGTCGAAGATCCAAACTGACTATTGCTGGGAAGACCAATAACATGGCGGCCACGTTGAAGATGACCAGGATGGCCGTTTGAAGAACGAAGGCTCTTAAAGCTGGGATTGGGATGATGGCTGCAGCGAAAAATGCACACATGTTGCTGAAGGAAGTGATTAGCACATTAACACCACTTCTTTTCAAACATTCTCCGGTCCGATCCTTTAATAATAATAAAAAAAAAATCATGGTTTTTATTTCTTTAATAACTTCATAAACTGTGTAAGTTAAAAGAGAAAGTTTCCCTTCTGCCTCAGTTTCTTATCTTAATATACAAATATATCACCAACGTTATGAACTCTTATCGCTATCTGAATCTTCATGCGATCATGCTGCGATTAAATTTAGTTTTATCTAAAAATGACAAAGTGGCACCCCTTAACTACAGTAAACATTGGCGTATAACAACCATGATTTCAGAACGTAATCTATATAAATAAACTTCAATGTGTGTGACACAGTGATACAGGACGACACGAGGAAGATCTAGGGGGGTTGGACCACCCCAATAATTTCATATCTAATTTCGGAAAAACTATCATTGTTCTTTATCTCTCAGCATTAGAATGAACTACGTAACAAATATAGTTAGAATTCTTGAAAACAGTATGTCTTTATTTTCAGTATTGGTACCTTTATGTATTTTTATTGCACTTTTAATGTTTATTATTTTGCTTAACATTGATTAATTTCGGGTATTTTACAGTCATTTTTAAGTTGTTAATAATAACACTAAGATTTAAATTCGTAAAGACAGTGCTGTCTGTTTGGAAATAAATAAACCATGTACAAACGAAGATCAATGAAACAGATCTAACGATTACGTAAAAATAAAACTCTTTGAAGTGGTGATACTTCGCGTAGGTCGATTTAATAACTTTATTTCGATACCGCTAAAAGACCACACAAATTTTAGCACAACCGTGCTCTCACTAAAAACGTGATATTACGATAGTTCATCGGATACGGGATTTGATTCATGACAATATTTAAATTACATCTGCTGAAAAACTTACCTTGCCATTAATATTTATCATAAATAACGCTCAAAGCATTAATTATGTTTCATTTGCTATGCCTCAGAGATGCCGGATTCAACCCGTTCAGGAAAACGAAATTTAATGTTTATGCTCACACGGAAAGTTCACACGGTGACACCTACCGTGACAAATATTCATTATTTAAAAATATGCAAAAAAAGTGGTGTATTTTCATTGGTTACAAATATTAAACCATTTACTTTTTATTATTTTTCTTCCCTTTACGATAATATAATATACGAATCTGGAGGGAAGATTATATTTACATCGCACGAAGACTTCCTACTTTACATTATTATTAACAAAGCTTCTTCGAACGTTAATTGGCGTGAATAAGACTTGATGTTCTCAATAAGGCTGAAAATGGATTCAGAAAATTACAGGTTATGGATAGCAGGTAGTGAAATGTAATGTCATGCGCGCACACACACACACATATATATACATATATTACTGAATTAGCGATTGTTTTTTTTTTCCTTCTTTACATCAATGTATCAGGGCCTTAATGGACTTGCTGCATATTATTAGCATACGAGTTAACGATAATAACAATCTCTTATAAACTTGTTGCCGAGCTTTACATTAGTAATTAGGCCTATTGCATTATGGAAAATCGTAGTCATTCTCAGCTTCCAAAGAATGATACATACCAAATTACTTGCTATCAAACAACTAGCTGAAGTTGGATTATTTGGAAACTACAATTGCAGTGTTTGGCCTTTAAACGTTGATTTACTATAGGAATTGGTTCGTATGCAATCAAAAACAAATTACAATACTTATTGGTATTGCATGAAAAATGTGAAATACATGCTGCTTTAGGGCATTTATTAAATACCTTTATATTGAATATAACCTTCCATGGGCGCCAAACCAGGTGGACTGAAGGAACACTTGCTACCCCACTTCACCGGTGGTGTGTTCTTAGTTCACCAACAACAAGACTTTTTACTGTGATAGTTTGGTTTGTTTTGAATTTCGAACAAAGCTACATGAGGGCTATCTATTCTAGCGTCCCGAATTTAGCAGTGACAGACTAGAGGGAAGGCAGATAGTCAACACTACCCACCGAAAACTCTTAGGCTACTCTTTTACCAACGAATAGTGGGATTGACCATCACTTTATAACGCCTCCACGGTTGAAAAGCCTAACATGTTCGGTGTGACGAGAATTCAAGCGCCCTAATCACCAGGCCATCCCAGGCCCTTTACTGTGTTAATTATTTTTTGCTTAGATAATGCACAATGTTACACAATGGGCTGTCTGTCCTGTGCCTACCACGGGTATCGAAACCCGATTTTTGGCGTTTTAAGTCTTTAAGCTTGCCGCCGACACATTGAGAAGAGAGTTTTTACCGTGTCACATAAAATACCAATATTGTTTTCAGGAACTCTTACAATTTGTTTTAGAGTCAGAAGATTTCGAATAAGATCTTTAGAATTAAAATTGTTACAGATTTTTTAAAACTTTGAATTCTTTCCTACTCGGATTATTTCACCTATATTTTAATCAATATCGTCAACAATCTGGAAATAATTCCAAAAAGATAAGTGGGAATGGTTTCTAGTTAATTTGAAACATACTATGCCCCTTGGGTTTAAACGCCTCTCTCATCATCAATGGATACAATAGAGTTTCCGAAGATAAGAAATTAAAGTTTACAACACAAAATAGTTTATTATTCACATGTGGGAAACAGACCAGTGAATGTGGTTATTACACGTGCCCTTGTTAATGGAGACATTTCTTTCTTGGTTGTAAGATGTAATCTGTGTCGTCCAACGCATATGGGTAACATCATTTAAAAACTGTCATGGAGACGGACATGGCTGCTTGTACGTCCCCCCTTCCACCCTTGAAAATCATTAGTCATACAATCGTTTCTCCTGACATCAAAACACACGTGCATTCTGTGCCAAATCTGACGTACAACGACATACTACAGGTGACTAGTTTAGGTAAAACGTCCACTGATAAGATACTATCTGACTGTTAGGATCACATGACTCCAGGCATGACGAGACTATGGCAAGAATGCTTGTGGTGAAAAGTTTGGCAAGGAAACATTTTCATTAAACACACACTACACTAGTATATTTATCTGACAACCGCAAACAAACCAAGCGCCCTGGACACGGGTGGGACTTTGATTTTATTATAGATTTTCATAAGAAGAGATCGAAATAATAACAGGGCCCCACTGTATATGATGAACAATGCTTTTGATACATAGCTTCCCATCCATTCAAGAGAAATGAACAAGTATCCCTCGAATGCTATGTTCGACCTTCAAATTACCGAAATGTTTTTATATCGTTCACCACCGGTAGGAACCACATATTACATAATATCTACTAATCTTATGTTTTTGTATATTACTACATTCAATGGAAGTAACTGATAAAACATTTGGATTAAATCGGTGATTTTCTACGTAAAATACACCAGCACTAATTAGTGGAATTAACCGTAGTGCTGATGGTATTTTTAACTTTTTTTGTGACTCATTTGTTATTAGAAACCCTATTACATTCTCAACTAAAGAACAATTACATCTGAAATGGTAACAAAAATTCGTCCCATCACATAGCTGGAATAGTCTTGCCTCTTGAGCCCTGGTTGCTTAATTAAGATCACAAACTGTGCCAAGCGCTGGGCTTATCTTACCTCAAACGGGATGTTCGAACGAAAGTTCTCTGCGTAAGTGTGGGCCATCAAGAACATATCATCCACTCCAAGACCCAAGGCCAAAAATGGGACGATCTGTAAAAACAAAAAAAAAAACAACAACACGTAAGTGTGGGCCATCAAGAACATATCATCCACTCCAAGACCAAAGGCCAAAAATGGGACGATCTGTAAAAAGAAAAAAAAACAACAACAACACGTAAGTGTGGGCCATCAAGAACATGTCATCCACTCCAAGACCCAAGGTTAACTGGAGAACAATCTGTAAAAAACAAACAAACCATCAACGACAAATTGTGCATATATTAGGATTATTACAACATAATTTAACACAAAAATGTTATTATTAAAATTTATTTCAACTAGCATAAGAAAACATTTTATTTTCTAAATTTGATAATTAGGTTACTATAATTTTAACTCTTTCCATCGAAAACTTAAATACTGTTTGCTCAAATAAAAAAAAGGGTTCAAAAAAAGGTCTGACTTTACTTCCGCTTGAAACTTAAATACTGTTTGCTCAAATAAAACAGATTCAAAAAAAGGTCTGACTTTACTTCCGCTTGAAACTTAAATACCGTACATTCTTTCCTGTCTAAGGTATAAGCTCTTTGTCTGTCAGACGGTTTTTGCAACACTTCGCTGTAAAAGTCCATAAATAAACAAACATACACTAGTTTGTTCCTTTGACATGACCAACCCATGTAGGTAAAAAATTAATACAGCGGTTTAACAAAATCTTAAATCAACAGATCTTAAAATATCATAAATTAAATACGTTGTTAGCGATGAAAGTGGGGTGGTGCTCGCATACCTATATGTCCCTGGAATAGGTAGGCCTCTGTCAAGCTTAGAAACCCCTGGTGTAGACCAATAAATGGGTGAACACAGATATGAACTGGTGTGTTTAACACTGTAAAATTACTTTGACTCTTAATGCTGGTTACACAGTGTCTACATTTTTAGGCACTGTCTCATCTCATTCCACGACTTAACGGTAATATTTTCACCAGTCATTACTCTGTAAATAAACAAGTATAACCATTATATTCATATTGGTTTCTTCTATTCATAATACAGCTTGTACTTTTATTCAATTTGCTTTCCTTTCGAGCTGCATATTGTACTATATAAACACGTTTTTCAGTCCACTTTTTCAGCTTTGGTTAATTTTTATTTTTGCTCACACTTTCTTTTCTTAAATAATTTTTATTACTGTCCCCCTGAAACTTTTCTGTGCCCCAAGTTTGGAAACCCTTAGTTTACACAGTAACAAACAACTAACATTCTATACCTTATGAGGAATAAAACTCATTCAAATAACTAAATTAAACTTATTGGGAAAGTGACTCCTAAGTGTTTTAACAGCAACCTTGGTGGACGAAAACGTGTCCTAACTGTCTTTACTGATTTGTGTATTTCTTAACGTCTTTGCAATCTACCGTACTCAAGTAGCTGTGGTTAAACACTCGTTAGTTTAAGGATTAGTACAAGTTGTTTCTCTTTATTCTATAAAGTCAACTACCAATCATGCAAGCCTAAGCCTTAATGTTTCCGTCCTTGACCCATTTGTTCCGTATATCACTGGTAAAATATACTACAAACGAATCACTTCTGCGGACATCTCAAGTTGTAATCCGATAAACTTCCAAGTATCACTTACTAGCCTTTAGCATTCTCTAACGTAGGAAAAAAAAACAACTTAAATATTGCACGTGTGCCTTCAATTTCAGCACCACCTCTCGTAGGAACTACAAATACGAGATCACGTAGATATTATGCATCCCGTAATTAAACCTGCCAGTAAATATGTTTCTAACATTACATTGATATACAGATACACTGTAAATGAAAGTAAACCATGTATACGGCTAGTTTCAAATTTCTTTTTATATTAAGTATTACAAATTCCTGACCAACTAACTGAAATTTTATGAATGGTTCTGGAAGTCAGTAGTATTATTCATCAATTTGTCAGCAGTCACTATTTAATTACCGAATTAATTAAATTTTTGTAGACATTTTGTGCTGGGAAACATAGCTCTAAGAAGAGTACAGGCATGCACCATTATTGAAACCACTTGAATATAATCCCCTTCCCCGGTGAGACGGCGGGAAGTTTTTGTTTATTTGCGTTTTGAGCTTTGGGAGAATCGAACCTTACAACGCTGAAGTCCTGTGTTTGATTCCCCGCAGCGGATAGTCCCATGTGGCTTTGTTCCGAAAAACAAACGAACACAGAACAATAAGGGGTGAGGTGGGGGGGGGGCTAGAAACCACAAAAAATGGTGGAAAACTAAAACATATGAGACTTTTACTTCTGACAGGTAATATCTTAGTGTTAGGTGGACTAGAACTCGTGCTGATTATTTTAAACAGTTTTGGTTTTAAGACAAACGGCTGAACACTGTCATCGTCTAGTTATTACCGCCTTTATCGCGTTCTAGTTAAGTGCAAGACTTAACATTCCATCTTATTGGAACTTTCTTAACGATGCAAGACCGTAACGGCGAAATGGAAGATGATGATATTATAAGATCAACGTTTAATACAGCGATTGTAACTGAAGGATGACATTTATAAGTCACATCACGTGCTTGTGATTTTAGGCGCCACGAGATTCTGTTCGTTCGATGAATATTCAGAGTGGCTGACGTGAAGTACCTCACGTAGCAGTCTAATACTACACTTGATGTGTCGCCTGTGGTGAAGTGGCGATGGTTCTCATATTTCCTAATCCCACTGGGTGTTCTTTAACATCAAAGGCCAGTTTGTCTGCAGCTTATAATAATAATAATTAATATTAATAATATAATAATAAAGATGACGATGACGTCAAGCTTCACGTGACTGTCATAACCACTTCCGAGTGTTTTCTTAACACATCAGCTCACTTCAAGTAGTTACGAAAAAAAAAAAACCGTAAAGCCAAACAAACACACGTTTTACTTATGTACAAAGGAAATTAGTCCTCCATGTAAAAAGAAACACACGTTTTACTTGTGTACAGAGGAAATTACAGTTCTCTATGTAAAAACAAACACGTTTTACTTGTGTACAGAGGAAATTACAGTCCTCTATATAAAAACAAACACACGTTTTACTTGTGTACAGAGGAATTTACAGTCCTCTATATAAAAACAAATACACGTTTTACTTGTGTACAGAGGAATTTACAGTCCTCTGTGTTGTTTATAATAATTGTTAGTTTTCTTCCGTAATTCTATCCGGTTGATGGTTTTCATTCTGTGTGTTTAATTTAGTCGAATAAAACAAGACTAAAATATTTAAAAATATGACAGAAATGACGATTTATCTAACCTCGACCCGTCTTGCTATCCACACGTACTATCCTCTTTAGAGTACAGATGATCCTTTTCATGGATTTTTACACTGATACCGAAAAAATTGGCATCAGTTCTGGTGAGCTATCAGATCCTTCTCCTCAGATAGCGATACTTTTGACGTAAGCAAGACTGAATAGTCAGCTTTCTCTTAGCTTTTAGTGGAACAATATTGGCCTACAACAATTCTAATGTACTATATATTTCTTTCCCTCTCTTTGGACAGATTGGTCAAGTCGATTGTTTACGATCTGTTATCTTTAAAACCAGGAAGAGCAGAGATGAAGTTAGGCGGGAGTTGGCAACACTAAGGAGTGAGTCATTATTACCAGTATCATTTTTAATGTTCCATTTTGTCTTTTTTTTTTATCTCATATTTTTATTGGTGTCTTTAATATCGGATACCTGTGGCACCCGGATTGTTTAATCTCGGAAAATGACACAAATAAATAAATACATTTAATAAAGTAATAAAAATACCGAGTACTGATTAAGCGCATAATGAAAACTTTGAATTATTTGTGTCCCTTGACGCTAGGAGGACACACAAAAACACTACCAATATTTATAACTTTAAATCTAGCAATATGAATGGGAGATAAAGGAAGTGGCCAGGCGTTGACGAGTTGTATTTTTCTTATATCAGAGTCATTAACCAATGGTTCGTAATTCCGTTTTTGTTTTTTCAATCAAACAAACAAGTTGTTAATACTACTATCTTTTCAAAGTTGTAAAGTCTCCGAGAGTGGAAACCGAGAACAGCAGCAGATAGATGTCGGTAAGAACAGGATATCAGGCCCGGGATGACCAGGTGGTTAGGGCGGCTCGAC